TTTGGTGCTTTGTCCGTAAAAATCAGTGACGCGAAAGTTGCTGATGCATCGCAAGTGTTTAATAAAAGTTCAGATAGAATCAGAGCGTAGAAAAAATTTTTACACATAAATTGCTTGTTCTCAAAACGCTTTATTTAATCAATAAAGAATTGTTGTTGCTGAAATTACTGTTTTCCTAACCTATATATATAAGCATCTTTGTCAATTTGCAATATTTATTTTTCCCCTTTATCACTTCCATTTTTTTGAAAGCTGTAAGCTATCAAAATAAAGGTATTTTGTTAGAACTAAATGGTTCTTGAAAAATCCCCCAGCGTGGGTGTGTGCCACGATTATCAAGCCCTTCTATTCGGCAAGCGCCATCGGCTGAGGCAAGAAATGAAAAGAAGAAGTGCGTCAGCGGTGAGCGTGCAGGCTGGCCTCCGTTCTTCTGGTAGCCTGTTGCCATAATGTTAGGCTGGGGCAAGAGGTCAACCCCCTCGGCTCCGGACGTGAGTGTCACTGGGACGTCCACGCCTTCAAAAAAGGATGGCAGGTGAGTGTACATTTATTCTTCGGCCATAATAAGAAGGGGTTGATACTTCCCCTTGCTTTTCTCTGCGATCACTTTACAACTAGCGCGAACGCTTTGAGTAAAGCTTTAAGCATTCAAAGCGGCACCTTGAGGCAGGGGGACCCTCTTTAACGTCGGGTAAATCCCATATCTGGACGCCACCACCAGTGAACCGATCGCATGATACAGGCCACAGCCGACGTGTCCACACATAGGCCTGCAAAGAAATTTCAGCATACTTTATTCACTAAAGGCATTCGTTTTGCTCTGGGAACTCAATTGATCTCACTCATCAACATAATATTCAGTTCGACAGACTTAGGCTCAGACTCACGGATTAACCTGAATCTCAGTGAGCATGAGGAAATCGACGCATGAGTTCGTTAGCGTAAAGCTATCTTTTTCACCCTTGGTGCCAATGCTCCTTACCGCCAGTATATTAACTCGCGTATATTCAGTGGGCCACAATATGGCTCCATTTCTTACACCTTCAAGTACGTGTTTTCAGTCGCTTCAATCCAGTAAGGACCTTTTAATGAAATACGTGACTCGCATGACATATCTTTATGAAGACCTTGCCCTGACAGAGTTCGCAGCAGTATACGTCATGCCCCAATCCCTTTAACCCGTGCCACAGATCAACAAAAATGAGGCAGTGCTCTGTTGAGATATCTGTGAAATGTATTGAGTACAAACTGTAGGGGTCAACTTGTCAGCAAGTGAATTGAACATATCGTTGGCGAAACAGCACAAAAGACCGGAACAGTAAAGGCAGTGCGATGTGTGATTCTACCTGTTTCTTTACTGTCTTGGACTATCATGTTCTTTCTCTTAATATACAAAACACAACCAATAAAACGCCTATAATAACTCATGTGTAGATAGAAATCACTTTATACGATGATAACGTGCGGACCTGGATTCGGCATGGTGATAAGCCCGTCCGAGACCTAGAATGATTTCCCATTGCAATATGACTCTCACATTCAGAATTCGTTGATGTCAGCGTGAACCTCGACGCTGATTTCTTACAGTGAGTAGCAGCACACATCTGGAACTGGATTGATACTCAAAGTTAATGTGAGGCACTACCTATGAACCTGCGAATAGCTTTTTCTGTAAGCGTATGTTTGAACGTTTACGCTGTTACGTGTCCAAGCCTAATTTTATACAGTAAGCTTCAGTGGAAAAGCTCAAGCAGTTTCACGTGGCTTTTTTCAAAGCCGTGCTGCGCATGATCGAGGAGCACTGACGTCACACTGCGCATAGCTGGCACGCCGGAAAATGATTCGAAGCTCGTGGAGTGTTGTGCCTCTAGTAGGCGGGTGCTTGGCTCAGTCGCTAGTCCGTCCGTCGATCTGTCTACGTTCACGTCCATTCATAGCTCAAGCTACGTGTATCTTGCATAACCGTGCCAAGACACTGCTATATCTATTTTTACCTGACTTTAATGTGTCGGAATACCAGTAACTTGGGCATGTTCATGAAGGAAAAGCGATAAAGCTAACGAATACTAAAAAATAAGAAGGCACAAAGGGCTACTGTCAACAAAAAGTGTTATTTACAGTTCCACTTCGTCGATGATTTCCCTTTGCCAAGTTTTATACGCTTGCTGCTGTACTTTAATTTTTTGGAGGTATTAATATAGGCTACGTATAGGTCATCCAAAATATTTTTGTTTTCGGCAAAAACCTCGAAGTAAAGGGACTACTACGCCTATTCTAAGTATGAAACGCGGGCTGTAAAAGAACATTTCATTGAGAAACAGGCCCTACAAAACACCATCTGTAAGTTTTGCCAACCACCTGGGACCGCCAGTTTGCAATGACATCTGTGAATTCATGCTTAGCAAGGGGAGGTGTTGTGTCGTCTTTTATAGTTTCAGCTGTTGCAAACACTTTAGTTTTAGGGCCAAGCACAAAAAAGGCAAATATATATTCGATTTAACGAACCACTGACCACACAACAATATCGTTCCCCCGAATGCACACTGCACAAATTGATCCTTCTGACTTCATACACGGCTTGCGAGTGCGCCATGATGTTGCCCGACTTTGAAGCCCCTCGTCTGTCAGAAAAAATTCAGTTATAAATTACGCGCTTTACCGAATGCACTAAACATTCGCCAGAATATTTATGAATGCACAAGGATTCCATCACAGAAAGCAGATTATGAAAGTGATGGGGTATCATGGCTCTTTAATTGCTCTTTATATAATATATATATATATATATATATATATCTATATATATATATATATATATATATTGGGTCAGCCTCCGCTGATGTAGATATTAGTCTTAGTTTATATATTCGTTTGTTGAGGGGGGGCGGCTTTCTTTTTGCACTTAAAAACTGGCTGGGGTAAAAGTTGCACCATTAAGTTATTAGAAATGGGTTCGGCGACGAGGCTTCACCCCCCCTTGACACCCTACGTACCCCTATGGCGAAAGCCGCACTACTTGAGAAAGACTTAGAAGCTGACACCTCCATAACAGCTTCTGAATTTAAGGCATGGAGCCGTGTGGTTTATATTCAGGTAGCAAAGCTCTTGGAAGATCCATTGCCTCAACTTTCTGCTGCTCTTTCCTTGGAATGAACTAACAATACTATGGACGCACAGTCAAATAAAAAGAACTTTTTTATGACAACGCTGCCAATGTCAGTTTCTAATGGCTGGCACTTTAAGCGCGATTAGCAACATTCATTTAGACCTAGCGAACTATATAAAATTGGAGCTAACAGCCAGTAAACAAGAAAAATTTTGAGGACGCTTGCGGTGTTAGTAGTGTGAAATCACAAGCCGATGACTCAAACGGCACTAAAATATGCTCTCCATGCTGTGTTCATCGCCCATCATATTTTTTTTCTTTGAATGTTATGTGGTTATTGCAGAACATGCCACCAGTATATGTGTACCTGAATACTACTGTCTGTGACATAGGTGTGGCATAACCGTTCTGCATCACACCTCACTGCCGATGAGCACTGTACTCACCAAGCATATTCGCAGGAATGCCAGAGAGGAGGAGGAGGTGCAGGAGGTATCGCTGGTGGGAAAAGTGCAGAACTCAGATTCGGCTGTCGTGGTCGTCCTTGGAGGCACCGACCTCCAGGAACCAGGGAAGACCTCCGCTGGTACAGGGCTATTTTTGATTTCAGGAAATGCCGTCCTTGTCCTTGTACCTATTTCCTTGCTTCACTCGCCTTCCCTAACGAAAAAAAATATGGAGCACAGAAATTTACAACTTCGACTAGTTAGAAGCATGCATGAGTGGTTTTAACTACCCGTGAAACTTTATGCTCGTTTTTGATATAGAACTCTCCTGTCTGAGTGTTAGGAGTAAAGCGCAATATTCAAAGCCAAGTTTCACTACCGGCTGCTGCTTCAGGCATAACTAATTCTGCTGATGTCTCCTACATTAGGCTTCTTTTTTTTTTCAAAATATAGCAACACTTCACATTTTCATTGCTTCTTCGCTTTGGTCGGCTTTTTAGGCCCCACGCACTGCATTCCGTTTTCAGGTGGCACAAATCATATTTTTTTTTAAATTTCATTCTTTGTTTATTCAGACAAAAATGATTGCCTAGGTTGAAGGGACTAAATAATATTACCTCTGTCTGACCAAAGTTCCTCCACCCATACATTTGCTCAGGTGAAGTGGAACAAAAGATGCAAATTTCATTCAGCTTTTGAATGAGGAGACACGAAATTCAAATTCAAAAGTACAACAGATGTCGACACATACGTTTTAAGACGACTGACAATCTGTTTATTCTAGGTGTGTCAATGGTTTTAAAAATTTTCTTGCTACGATGCAGGCAAGTCGAACTACGTGTTCAAGCCACAGCTGAACCAATGGCTTGCCATTCAACCGCTGCCCGAGCCACGAAGTTATCACGCCGTTGTTTACTACGCAGGCTGCATCTACGTTTTTGGTAACTCAGCCTAGTAATTTGTTGATGGGTAATAAAATGTATAGAAAGGTATATGCAGGTTATATACTGCAGCATTTCATTTTCTATCCTTATTCACTTTAGCCTGCGTGGGTATTTTTATGGGACCCAATGTTTTTATGCGTGCCTTCGCTAGACTGCCCATACCGAGGAGTGCAGGTGGCGAGTTTCTCGTCTAGACCATTATGCGGAACAAAAACAGTTAGACAGTATCTGTAGTGAAAACACCACACAGAATAAGCGCACACTTGCATAAAAAAAAAGAAAATTACTCATGCATTTTTCCCAGAGCTTTGTGCTTTTGTGCGCCTACTTGGTCTGTGCTGTGTAAGCGAATTGCAGTTCAGTGTTCCGCTAAACTATACTTGAGCTAATTGTCATTCAGTCACTACATTCAGCATAACCCCACGCCTAGTTACCATACCCATTCAATAAACTGTACCTTAGCAAAGCGGTCCTATCCCATTACAACGATTCCCAGTCTGACACATGACTACTTTCATCTACAGGGGTTACAGCGGCGCAGTCGCCAGCAAAGGAGGACAAGGCCGAGCTCAGCGCTCCGTGTTCAAATTCCACGTTCGCGAGCAGCGATGGGACCGCGCGGCGGATATGCTGCATGCCAGGGCTTGTCACGGAGCCGTCGTTGTGCACGAGAAGATCATGGTCGTCGGCGGCAAGGACGACAAGGAAGAGTAAGTGGACGGCTGCTGTAGACGCATTGCTACCAAGAGAGGCCTCCATGCGACATTGAGGCTTTTTCCTTAACAGCATACTAAGGAGTCTCACATTTGCTTTTATAAAACTAAAAACAGAGAGGAGAGTTTATGGATAGGTGTGTAATAAATACGTGTCATAGAATGCAGTACGTACGAGTGTACTAAACACATCTAACCAACTAACTGTCACTTGCGGAGTATCTCATTGGTCAATACTAGGACCGCTATTGTTTTTAATGTATATCACTGATATAACCGAGATACTAGGTTCTCATGAGATGATCATGTATGCGGATGATGCAAATATATTTTTCACAGCAAAATCCCTTGTACAAGCAGAGGCCATGATAAACGGGTACTTAGGTAACCTGCAATCATGGCTAAAATTGAACATGTTATCTTTAAATTATCGAATACCAGCTATATTATTTTAGACTGATTAATACTGCAGATTTCTTCAAGTTCAACATAGAGTTTGGACACGTAAAAATACATGAGGTTGAGTTTATAAAATTTCTCGTTGTCTGGATCCACCTGAACCTTTCCTGGAACACGCATGTCTCAAAATTAGCGTCTGAAATAAGCAAAAGTGTTGGCATTCTCTACAAGGTGACTAGTCTTGTACCTGTATGGTTGAGACTACAGATGTATTATGTGCTTGTATATTCTTAACTGACCTAATATATTCTGGTCTGGGGAACTAATACGACTACTAACTATCAGAAACTACAAGTACTTCAAAAGAGAGCTTTGCGGTGCATTCTTGGTTAGTGCGGCAGTCCCATGATCTTCCAACTTCGCCAATGTTTTGTCATTATGCTTTGAATAAAACGAATAAAGTCAATTTTTTTCGTCTATTGCAGCATATTAAAGTCAATAATTTACATACTCAAAGCAATACTTTGAATAGTGATGCATACCATCTTTGAAAACAAAGCCTGCGGGTCCCTAAGACGCGTACTTACTATGGCAAACAAAAATAATTTACCAAGTGACTGTGCCTATGAATGTAATGCCTACAAATGTTAACTTTGCTGTTTCAATGAAAATATTTAAAAAGGAATCAAAGAAATATTTACTCCACTCTGGTGTGTGTTAGCTATAACATTTTCACTGCTATATGCTTAAGAACAGTTTATTTTGTTGTACTTGCGAGCGTATCTGATTTATCTATTTATTATGTCATGAAGTTATATTGTTTTGTTAACTCTCGCCAGACTGTGCAATGGAGCAGAAGCCTTTGTCAGGCACCCAAGCCTTTAGCACCGGCTTCCTCCTTTGTATGAAAGGAAAATAAACTTCACTCTCACTTTCACATATAGTCATACGTATGTGAAAGGCGCCATTGCATGGTGCGTTTGTTTGAAGGATTCAGTGGGGAAATTGCGTCAGACGGTTTCAGGGTGTCGGGTCGCCATGTCAAATCGTGCAGCGTCAGGTGGCATGACATCACATTAAGTGGCCTTCACCAATCAAAACGTTCGGTGAGCTTTTACATTTATCGTTGCTCATCTGCTCTCTGAAAATTAGTGAAATATTCAAGGCGTGGAAAGCTGAGTGCTTATTACCCACATTGTTCTTGCTTTCGCAAATAATCAGATGTAATGAAACGCACTTTCACTTTATAAGAGAGGAGAGGATAAAGGTAGTTTATACATCACGCTACATTGGGATTGTGGCATTCCCGTTTTTTGTTCCAGCTTGAGAGAACAAATTACAATTATTCATTGCTGTACCGCCAGTGATGACCACCTATTGTTAGGCACATAAATCTGTATCAAAGTGCACTGCACTTGTTGCACTTCTCTAGATGACTGATAAAAAGCGCTGTTCCGAGTGCCTCTCAAAACCGTAGGTCTTACGTCTACCGAGTGCTTTTCAGCACCCTGATGGGCACTCACAAAGCGTAACATTCTTCTGTTACAAGAAAAGCTGTTTTTATAATATCACAAGGTCCGATTTCGACACCGTAGTTGTCTGCCATGGCCGCCGGTGTCCCTAGCGCTCTCCTGTGAAGTTAGTATGAAAACTAAACTCCGAAAAAAATCGCAAGCGTGCGCGGAACGCACAACAGTCGCAGCGAAAGATGAAAGAGGGTTCTTTCAGAACCTTTTATAAACACTATATGGGTAACTGGTGTAATCACACCTGCAGGGTACCCACTACACCATAAATATCATTTTTGTGTAGTGGGCTGGCATTCACTGTGTTATTCTCTGTCATTCTTCGGAGGAGCTTGGTATTGACTGCACACTTGAAGTAAATTTTGTGCAAGTTTTTACGTAGTGGCTCACGACAATGAGGATTTAAGCCTGCAGGGAGTATGCGCCACAATTATTAGGTCATCCGGATTGCGTAATCCAGTAATTAAGCAATTCCCATTGCGTGACACCTGGTTGCTCATTTGCTCTTATAAACGCTTTATTACTTATATTTATGAATTTCCTTTTCGACGTTAAAGCAGCCCAAGGCATTTTTTCGATGTAGGCTCAAGTTTCAGCGTGGCTATGGCGTAGAATACTGGGCTGGCCCGCAGGGGACCCAGGTTCGAATGCCGCAGCGTCCTTGGCGTTTGTATTTACTAAGTGTTTTTTATCCTATTTCGTGCGATAGTGGTTGTGGACACAGGTGGTGGCGGTGGACAACTACGGCACTGCACTCGACCCCTGTTGTGATGTCATAACAGATGTCGCTGTGAAAAACGCCAGCCCTATGCAGAACGCCCAGCACAACACAGCCAAAGCTAAAAGAGAGTCATTTTTAGATACTTTTCAAGCACTCTTTCGGTAACTACCACAAGCACAAATGAAGGGTACTTTATCATCATCATCATCATCATCATCATGATCATCATCATCGCCTGACTGCGTCAACTGTAGGGCAAAGGCCTCTCCCATAATACTTCAATTAACCCGGTCTTGGGCTTTCTGTTTCCACTTGATACGTGCAAACATTTCAATCTCCTCAACTCACCTAACTTTGTTCCCCTTTAGTGTGTCACTGCGCCATAAATCAACATAATTTTTCTGTGGTAGGGAGATTGTCATTAGGCCATCCTTTTCAATCTTCGCATAGGCGCAGTACCCGCTACTTACTTGCAAGGAATTTCATTCAATTTTTAAATGCTAAACCTGCTGACAATAAATAATTACGTGTGAAGCTTTTCTAACATATATTCGCGTTCGTATACCCACTAGCACACCTGATTGTTTCTTTGCTGTTCTAAAAGGCGTAAATATTTATGTTGGCACGATTCATTTCGCCACATAAAACCTGCCTCCAGGTCACTTTGCGAAAAAGCTCCAAGCGCTGGCAAGGCACAGTGGTAAGATGCTCAGCTGGCACACATGGTTCTGAATCTTATTATATCCGCAATGTTTTACAGCGAAAGCTTTCTTCAGATCAGAAGGATCATGTGTGTCATAGTTGCCCATTGCCGCTGCCGATGTCCGTAAACACTATCGCACGAATTAAAAAAAGCCATAATGCCATAATCTAAAAACATGATGTTAATCGAACCCCGGTCCTTTGCAGGAGGACGCAGCATTCTACCGCAGCGTCAGGCCGGTGCTTGAAACTGCTTTGCAAATATGGACAGGCTTGATGCCGCGAAAGGAGTCACGTTAATATAAGTAATAAAGCTTTTTAGAACAGCAATGAAACAACCAGGTGTCTTACAATGCGAATTGCGTAACGAGTGGGTCGTCGTATGCTCCAACGCATTAAACATCTTCCTTCATTATTGTTCAGCGTCTCCAGCCGGAGCATAAAAAACTTGCACAAATTTCTTTGCGAATGTGCAACGGGTACCACGCTTCTCCGAAAATAACGAAGAATGACATAGTCATTGCTTCTGTCTACATAAAAGTTATTAATTTTCTGCAAAGGGTACCCTTCAAGTTTGCGTGTAGCAGGTACCCAAAAAGTGTTGAAAAAAAACTCTGAAAGGCTTTTCTATCTTTGGCTGTAACTGCGCTGCGCGTTTCGCGCAGACTCGGCGTTCTTTTTTAACACAAAAGTATTTTATTCTTGATCCACTACGGCTACACTGACGCATTTAGGTCACGGAAATGACGTTGTAAAATATATACTAACAGACTGCCAAAGAAACACGAGAAAAAAGAGTTCTCTAGCGTTGATTTGATTGATTGATATGTGGGGTTTAACGTCCCAAAACCACCATATGATTATGAGAGACGCCGTAGTGGAGGGCTCCAGTTCTCTAGCGTGGTGACTCACTTGTGCGCACACTTACATCGGGACTCGGGTGCTTTTACCTCTTGTGCTTCAATCGGACGTTTGCTTTGGTTACAGTAGTTAAATAACTCGAACATCACTTCACTCGCTGCTGCGGTCACGCCTTCGTTAAGAAGGAGCGCACGGATCGCACACGATGAAGTAAGAGTTGTGACAGTTGTTTCCACTTGCCGAACTTGTGCATTATTTTGTTCGTTTGTTTTTTTTTTGGTGATGTGCTTTACTTGTCGGGATGTCGCAGTTGTTTCTCTGCGCTCTGTCTGTGTATACTCATTTCGTGCGCGCTTTCTGCTTGAAGTGTGCGCTGCAAGTTTCTACCTGCATGCTGGCCGTTCTTTACGTGATATTCCAATTTGTTGCGGTAGCAGTCATTCTTTCTCCTTTGTGGCGAAACAAGGTACAATGAACTCTCAACTACTCCTGCTAGGACACGGTTCTCCTTCGTGTTATACTGATTTCATAACATAGAGACCTATCAGAATCTGTTTTTTTTATTTTCTTTGTTTTTCTCTGATTTCGCTCGATGGTGGTTGCGAACAAATAAAGAAAATTTTTCTTTTTGACATAAGCGTAAGCAAAGGGAGGACGTCACATTTTGCCTCATGTATTCATTTGCGCCGCCTTACCGTACACTCATGGTAAGAACACAATGATCGCTATCTTCCAGGATCCTCAACTCGGTGGAGTTGTACAACCCTGCGTCGGACAGCTGGGTTCCGTACCGCCATCTTCCGCTGCCGCTCATGGCCTGCGGCGTTGGCTTCTTGGGCGGAATGGTGTATGTGGTAGGAGGGGTGACCACCAAGAAGCAGGTGTTTACCGGCATGACGCCCGCCGAAGTGTTGTCCACTGTGCACGCCACGGATCCCAACGAGCGCACGTGAGTGTACAAAGATCCCTTTATCGCTTGTCGAAAAATCTGTAGATACCTCACATCACCAAACTCCGATAACATAAAAGCAATATTTCAGCAGTTCAGAAGAAAATGTGAGGCATGACAGCTTAACGCTAAATAAATATGGACCTCGGGCAGCTGGTGCATAAGATTGGGTGATAGAAACAAAGCGTAGCAGTGCTCTGCTTTTGCATTCACATTGTCCACCTCAACGTCTGCAGTGCTACCGACCCATCGTAAACTTCTTCTTTTATATTTCAGAAAAATATTTACAAAGAACGCAGATATGGTCAAGATATTGAAACAATATTTGGGCTTCATAGGAAAGAAAATTGTGCAGCTTTAATAAGCGATACAACGCAACATACATCAACCGGTTAGCCAACAGGCCAGTTACCCAGTTTGTGTTTTTTTCCATGCGTCTATGTTTGCTACAACCACGCATATCTACGACACGAGCACATGCATAACAGAGGGAAGGGTCTTAGTGCTGTAGTTAACATAAAGTTGGCATTTGTTGACGACGATCGGGAACTTACTTAGAGCGCAACACCAGAAAAAATACAGGACAGGGAAGGAGCAAGAGAGGAGAAAAAGGAGCAAAGGAGCAAACCAACTGGCCCAAAGTACCGTCTTACTACAATATATTGTTGACTACGAGCATGATTTTTATGACAATTTTTGAATAACCTCCACCACTACGTACAGCTGGGTACGACGACCGAGTCTCCCTGAGCCCCGCGCCTACTGCACCGCTCTGACCATCCACCACGAACTGTGGCTTGCGGGTGGCCTCAAACCCGCGGGCCGCGACCCCGCCAGCTTCACCAACCTAGTCGACGTGCTCGCGTTCGACTCACTGCGTGGTCGATGGGAATTCCGTTTCAAGCTCTCTCGTGCGCGTCACGCCGTCGCTGCCGCCAATGCTGACGACCGCGTCTACGTCATCGGAGGAATGACTTGCCTGGAGGGCACGTCTGTGGATGACGTAGACGTGTACCACCGACAGCGGCTCTGTTTCCTCGATTGCCAGTGCCTGCCCAGGAAGCTCACAGGTGGACATTTGCCCTCATACACACATAATGCGAAAACATAATAACAATATCAAAACATCAACACAGAGATTATACAATAAAATGAGAAGCACGGCAATTTTATAAGCAGATAAAAACAATTCAAACTTGTTCCCCATACCGCAGTTCACAGTGTCATGGTCAAAACACTTTGACAAAACGTGCCCAAGTAGTATTGCGACTGGACGATACAATGTTTAAGCCTGTTACTGTAAACTTGATTCTTATTGTTATGTCATAACTATTATATATTGTTTAGGTTCAACTTGTCAGAACTACAATGATCATAAGGGACGTTGTGTGGACAACTCAGAAAAACTTCGACCACCTAGTGTTCTTTGGGACAGTTAAATGTCGGGTACACGGATCTCAAATATTTCATACTTAAAATGTGATCACAGCACTGGAATTTCATCTCGCGATGTTCGCATCTGCAGTCAGCCACCATTAACACTTGAGCACCGTGGCAGATTACTCAGGATTTAGCCAGCCATCTTGTAGCCCGACTCGAAAATTCAGTTCTATCATACGATAGTCTTTGTGCCGGGGCCCACGAAGACTTGGATGGTGTAATTTCAGTCACAGGAGTGACGCCGGTAAAAACACGCTAAACCGTCATCGGGAGTGTACCCCGTGACGTCTTGGTCAGGGGCAACTGACTCCGGGCGCGAAACTACTGCGCCACATCCAATAACCTCGTGCTATATTAAATGGAGCCTTTTGTAGCTGCTACAGTCCTCAGCACTTTTCGTAATGTTCAGTAATGCATTCGTCATTACCGCTTCATCAGCGACTAGTTAATTCGGCGCGTCTTTTCCTTGCATCCACTTCATTCGGCGCTATTCTTTCAAAGGTATGTGCCATTTTGTCAACGCCAAACACACCCCCAAAAGGAAATTTCACCGGCAAGTGTCGGTGTCGCTCATAGCCTTCATTCATACCTAAAAAAAAAAATGGCAGCATATCCACGAAGTGAATGATGGAGAGTGGGGCGAAGCATCCATCCGTCCATTCGTTCTTGCTTCCGTCTATCCATGCGTGCGTCTGTGTGGCCACCCGTGCGTCCATCCGCCTGTCCGTGCGTCCGCACGTCTATCTGTGCGTCCGTCCCTGCGTTCGCTCATGCATCCGCTCCTGCGTCCGTCCATGCGTCTATCAGTTCGTGCAGCCATCGTGCGTCCGTCCATGCATCTGTCTGTGTGTCCGTTCGTCCACCTGTTCAACACTCCAAGTACCACCATCTCGCATCTTTTCATCATATATTCCTCATGTAGAAGCACCGCCATCCAGTGGACATTCCAAAGACTGAACGAGAGGAGGCTCACTCCCACTTTCTTACGGCTTGCGCCTTCGTGTCTACTTCCCACCTATAACCACCTCGAGTTCATGGTATATACTAGTTCACTGTATTCATGGCACTGCGGCCCAACGCTCGCTAAACCTTTCTAAATTTTAGGAGGTTACGCCCAGCGAGTATAACGCAGCAAACCTTTCTTCTCAGATAGTGCTCCATGTACATGCCAGTGGCTGCTAAGGGAGGATGAGAGACAGGAGAATTCGCCTTTACTTAACGCGCACGCTGCGAATTTTTTATTGTTCAACAACGCACAGAAGAAATCTCCCACCGGCACCACCTTGGAAGTCAAAATGGTAGACTGGTTACACAGTACTACTACGACTACGAGGGACAAACGGGTGCCGCTATAAGGAGCTTCGCCCCTAAAATAGCTGTGCAAAGCGTATAACAGCGCACCTGCTTCGTCTGGGTGCAAAACTCCGCGTTCGGCGCTTACGCTCGCCCCACGCAAATTGAGGCCGGCCAGGAGACAAGGCAAAACGTTCATTACATTTCTGTCTGGCCGGGCTGTGGCGTTGAATAACTCCAACATTGCGCGAGTAGGCGACCATAGCCAAAGTTCAGTGTCTAACCAATCACGTTTTGTAGCACTAAGCGTTAACGTGGACGCATCAACGTTAAGCGGTGGTACAGCTGCCAAACACCAACAGGCATTCTGCAAGCTTTATTATATAAATACGCAGTAAACACTAAAATACTTGCGTAAGACACATTTTAGCTTCCTGTTTTACCGATGCCTAAGACGAAGGAATCATTAATCTTATTTTTTGTGTGAATTTGCACGTGCCTACAATACAAATATGAATAATTGGGCGTTTTTCTCTTGAAAATATCTATTAGCCACACTGATTCAAGGCCCGTAATGCACAGTGGAACATTCATGTCATTAAGTGTATCGTGGGCAGCCAGAGGGGCATACAATCAACTTACAGACGCAAGAACTTTAAGGCGCCCGTCATTGCCGAATACTCAGACCCAAGTAGGGAAAATATTTTATCGAATGACCAACTTTGCATAGAAACCGTCATATCTCTGTGTAAATTAATCTATAAAGAACCCGTAAAATTTAATGGATGGTAGCTATGCAAACTGCAAGTTCTTAATATCACACCTTTGGATATGTGTGCACCAAAGACATGAAGATAAGCTTAACTTGCTTCAATAGGAATAATGCATTCGTAGCTGCCACGTGTGCCTTCTGCGGTCGCTGTTCGCTAGTGATGCTATAAGAAATGTTGGATGAATGATTTGTTGTTGTCGTAAAAATTGTGAAACAACTTTCCTTGGGATCCTTTATTTTATGTTAGGTGGCATAAGTGAAAAAAATCTAAAACAAAGTAACTCATACGTATACATGCATGAGTCACAAAAATTTGAGGGCTCGTATGAAAAACGTTCACTCCCGCCCTACTGTGAAAGAATATGGGTTCATCGCTTTTAGAACGAATAATATTGAACTTCGTGTCGTATTGAAAAGATGAACATACACCGTTCTACATACTGTGACTAATAATTTGCTAAAGTGTTTTCAAGAACGATGAGCAATATGTGCAGCTCAAAATGCCATGTTGTATTTCTGTACAGGACTGGCTGCCGTAGCGGTGCCGCCAGATTCATCTGATGGATCTGGGCCGAAGGTAATATGCTGGTTGGTTATTTAGTCGGGTTTTTTTTGTGTTTATTGTTGTATGCCTGGAGGCGTGATTTGAAGACGTTCGAGAACATATACAAATCTTGCCTCATTATCAACCATCATTACCTATTCAAGTGTTTTTATGAATAATGGTGTACAACACTACGTATTGTTGCGTGATGGTGACGTATTGCCTTCTGGCCTAGAATATTTCACCTTAAGCAAACGTTACTACAAATACTCCGAAGTGCCATGTTAGGGAGAACCCCTTTATATTATCAAGTATTGAGAGAAATTATTCAAATATTCTTTTAAAGAGCATTTTGCGCACATAGCTCGCAGATACACAAAATTTAGAAACCCACTTTCTTGTCTACATCAACGTTTACTTTCACTATATATCTCGCGAGAAGTTCAAGAAATTCAAGAATAGGAACTGGAAAATAATTGAGACAAAAGTGATACTGCGCTAAATTTAATCGCTAAGAGAATAACATATGCAACTTAGCAAATGTGCTGCCAAAAAAAAGTTCATAAAATACAATGAAAATTCAGACATGACCAGTGCTCTTCTTTATTATTTTATTATTTCTGGTTGTTGTTTCTTTCAGATTCCTGAAAAGACAGCCTAAACATTTCCTCTATTTCACACACGTGTAGATACGGAGATTCAATAATTGATTTTCATCATTGAATCTACTTGATTCCTGATGTACGAGGCTTAATAAAGTGTGACTCATTTCACAAGAGGCCGCGTCATCAGTCCTCGCATTTCTTTGTCTCAGAGTGCTGCGAGCTCAAGAGCCCCGTCATCACTGAAACTGGAGCAGGGTGACCAGGAAAAGAAGAGGCGGCCACACCAGCCTCCTAAAAATTTGGTCAGTAGACTGATCGTTGCTGCGAACTTGCCCGATGACATATATAAACTTTGTGCTATTATGTGTGATCTTTCTTTTAGAGAAATTTGCCGCTGAGCTATTCAACTGCCGTCATGATCCAGCTTCCATTTCTCTTGCATTCACTGAATAGAATTTTCAGCAGTTGCATTTTACAAATAAAACGTTCAAAATGAATACTCCGTGAGAACTTGCCCCTAAGGATTCAATGATTGATACGTGCCTACAAACAACTCAGTGAGGGCTCACTTAGTAAAACGCCAATCATTACACTACCCTAGGTTTAGATTTTTATCTATCTATCTATCTATCTATCTATCTATCTATCCATCTATCTATCTATCTCTCTATCTATCTATCTATCTATCTATCTATCTATCTATCTATCTATCTATCTATCTATCTATGAGGCCGCCAAAGTCTGCGTGCTCTCCTGATCACCTGCTACACTTGAGGTAGACCGAAATTAGTATGCGAAGCTAAGATGGTTTGATAAGTGCGATTATAATGTTAAAACTCTTTCGTCTATGACGTCATACTCTTCTCTCGCGACACTTCTGACACATATCCGCGTACCATGGCAGTGGTATGCGGGTATGCGCTACTGGTTTGTGGTAGTCTGCATCTACCGAGAGCAGATTTTGGAAATTTAATGATGATGCGATTAGAAAAAAAGCAGCATCGGCAGCGTTGACCCGAGGAAAACACATATATCAAAAGGAGTCGAACAAAGCAATCAGCGTAGCAATCGACTATTCTACCATAGAGCCATGTCAGCTCTCGAAATCTTTTTTTAAAAAGGACCTGCGAATACGCAACGTTAGTGAAACGTCGATTTGGTCGCAGGGGCTGGCAATGTAACTTTATAAATATTACATATCTACTTTTATCATACCGCCGTACCACTAGTTTAGCGTCGATTGTAATTAGGTGCCATTTAATGAAGCTCTTCCAAGTACCACCATCCAGAGCAGCCATCATCCTTGCAAGCACTAGCGCTGCATTTCTGCTTACCTGATGTTAGCAATACCACTCAACAAGATAGAAAGGTGAGCTAGTTAGCTAGTGAAGTGCTCGTGCTGTGTGCCTCCACTTTGCTTCGTTTGTTCGTTCCTCCCACACTTCTAGTTCATGGAACAATTAGGTTGGTAATACCAATGTGGCTCCAAACATGGTTACGTTACTGTAAACAGCTAGTTAAATGTACACGACTCTTCATATACATGCCTGCGCGTGTAACACTTCAACACATGTTTAGCTTTATTCAGCAGCATTCCATTAGAAATAAGAACAATACCGCATTCATCTTTCCTCCGCACGTTTTGAATAACATAAATTTGTATGGTATGTGGGTTCGGCGGAATTTTTTTTTGGAAGATGAACCCGGAATATAGTGTCACCTTATTCACTCGGAAGAGTTACCTTAGTTTACATAGCTGAAAATACCTGTTAATTATATGATAACACAATTTATTCTCGTAGTACGCAGACAAGGACCGCTCACCGAGGAGATTGAAGTGCCTCCAGAAGTGCGCACCAAGATCACGCCTCGTCCCCGCGCCCGAACTGAAGCTGGAGACGTCGAGGATAGCACTGAGGGCGTACGTATGAAGTACTTGTACTCAAGGAAGGCGTTCACAATATTTATTAATATATTACTTGCGCATCTATCAATTAATGTAGAAATACCTGCTTGGTTCATAGCGGTAGAGAAAACTATGTTAGTGCAGTTCCCAATTGTATGAGTGGTAGCCTAATCAAAGGATGTGAAATGCTTCTCTAAAGGAACATTGCTATACAAGATCACTAGAGACTAAGAAAAGAGTACAGTGTGCTTCACACTGTAAAAGTTACAACACCATCTTTTTTTAGTTAACGCCGCCCTTGCGCCTTATCTTTTAAAAGGCATTTAAGACGTGCCCCTCTATAACCAATGCCGGACGTGTTAGCCTAGAGATTCATATAACTTTTTGAGCTCTAATTCTCTAACGAGGCACATCAGCGAATGTTTCGTGTTATTGTACTATCCTTCTCTATTTGCGATTTTGTTCATAAAGATCCTTTGCAATAAGAACCTTACTTCCCGCCAATTCCTTGCTCTCCTCTTAAAAACAGAGGCTGAAGTTCGGAGCTCTTTTCTTTCACAATACAAAAAGATCTCAAACTATATGATGCACTTGAGCATAGTGATTTCGACTATCCATAAGAAGGGAACAGTAGACAATTATGCCGACAGGACACTCCAGAGTTTTGATGTGATTTTTGGCAGTACTTACACAGATTATTCGACCCATTTTTCTTTATAATTTGCATTTTGATCGTGGGTTAGTTGCATCTGCTTTTAAAGATCACTGCAACGTTTTTGTAACTTGGTTAGAATAGTTTTACTGAAGGAGAGTTACCGTGTTTTGTTAATTCGCCACCGCAAAACCATGCAGATTGTCCCGAACGAGCGGAGTTACAAGGATTTGTTTAGCGCTGTAATTGATTTTTCTTTACTGTACCGGTGAAAGCTCAGGAAGCTAAGCAGCAATGAACAGCACAAGGGACTCAAATAGTCTACGAGTGCCTCGTGACCGAGATATTCTTTCTTTCTTTCTTTTTTTCTTTTTTTTTCCTTTCTTTCTTTCTTTCGCTCGTTCTTTCTTCCTCTCTTCTTTATTCCTTCTCCTTTATTTATTTCTTCTTCTCTCTTTTGGTGGCATGATTTTTCATTGTGGTAAAGTGCACAGTCATGGACAAGTCGCGGCCTCCCCGGCGACCACAAGAACAACCGAGTGCTCAATGCTTCAATCGTCTATTGGATAATACTTGGCCTGTGACGCAGCAATGTTAGAGGCAGCAGCCTCATTTGCCGACTGATGAAAAAGCGAATTTTCGGTGAAATGAAAAAGTTATCGGAAATCCCAGGTTACGTGTGATGTGATGATATTTGGCTCTCGTGTTCTGGAAAACCTTGAGATATTCAGTGTTTCCTTGCCATGTTCAAAAAGTGTTCCAGGGCCGCCTTAAAAATCCAAAGACGTTTTAGCTCTAATCTGCACATCAATTGCATTGTGTTTGAATATTCATATTTCATAAGTAGTCAATTTGGGATGGGTTAAGATGCATTGTGTAGATAAGAAACGTGCATAGTATATGCCTCAACCGAGACGGGAAAAAAGACTCCTCATAGCCCTCGGACAAGCTCTTCTGAAAGATGTCGAGCTGCAGCATGTGTACTCGCTTTTCTGTCTTTTTAGATTTCTAGTCAGTCAAGGCGTTCCTTCTGCGGTGTCTGAAGAGCCTCCAGCTGATGGCTAGGGCTTACGAAAAAGGCACGCCGTGTCCTGAGGTGCATGTGACTGATTTTCTAACCCAGCATTCTTCTTACTCTCATTCGCCATCCAGGGTCATTGGCCTCCGAGCCGTTTATCCCTCGACTCGAAGACCTTCCTGGGAGTGGAGACGTTGAAGCTTCGCACTCCGCTAAGTCGTCCCAGCCTCCCGCGCTTCTACCACTACGTCCCCACGGCGCCCGCGAACGATCCGCACAGCGGCATTACAGTTCGCGTGGACGACGACTTCAAGCGAACAAAGTGAGCCCGCGTTTATAGACCAGAGGGATGCACATTATAGAGTAATGGGGAAATATTGCAATACTGATCATTTCTTCGTATTAAAAAAAGTGGTGGTCTGATTCGCACCAGATAAAGGGTGTCAAGCTGGGTGGTATCTGACTCCTGAGAAATAATAATCCTGAGTTTATCAGTTTTTGTCTCTGAACTATATCGTACCTCACGCGGTGTTGCTCTGCCTTCAGATTAAGGCCCACGCTTGACCAACAACGATCTGATGTGAAGATGTCAAGGTATATAAAGCCATGAGGATGTCACAAATTTTGATCTGTGATGTTATATATAACGGCACTATTCTGCCATCAGTGGTCCCTTGATTTGTTTGAGATTTTCTGAGTGGTCGGTGAGAGCGCCAATGTTAAAATTTTGAGTTTTCTGAGGCATGTACGCCACTTTACCGCTACGAATGCTTGCACTGTGAAGGCTTTGCAACACTACAACGGTTTTCTCCGGCATCTTAAGACAACTTGTTATTGGTGGTTGCAGCACTTCATAGAGTAAAACAAACTTGCAGGGAGGTGCTAGGACTACGTGACGCCAGTGGACTTCCGCCTTTCGCACGGAAGTTGCGGAGGGTGAAAAAGGTGCAAGATGAGACACTGCCGATTATCCTGACCTTTGGTGGCCTTGATCCGAGAGATCCCCTCAACTACGCTAACGGCAAGTTACTTTCACAACCGCAAACTGGAATAATTCAATCTTGACCTAAGCTTGATTGGTAGGTAAACTCCAACTGGGCCAATTCAGCAATGGTTTGCTTGCACTTTTAATCATCGATCCTAGAATTCCAAGGTACCAAAGTTATAAGCCCTTGGGTAATCGCCCTTTTATCCGAAGCTATGGGAGCTGATGTTATGAGAACGCGCTTGAGGCTTACTTATAACCTAGAGTCTTTTTTTTTTTCGCCGTATAATGGTGTGTCTGTCTGCATATCTCGGTACGCAGACTTGCAAACAAGGCTATTTCGTTATTCAAATGGCATATATATATATATATATATATATATATATATATATATATATATATATATATATATATATATATATATATATATATATATATATATATATATATATTATATATATTACGAGCATTTCTTGAAGATGTGCGCCTTTTTTAGAGTGCTAGCTGTATATAAAGTAGTCATAACTCATGCCTAATGCACTTATACTTAGTCTGAGGGAACTACAGAAATGAGCTCTCTCATTTGCCATCATTTTATATAAAGATCTTAAAGGAGAGGCACCAAACAGAGCCGCCAACGTCTTCCTGGATACAGCTTAAGAAACGGATACATATAAATAAACAAACTGCTTTGATCACTTTTACGTAATGTTCAGGTAGCAAAAAAGGTTATGCACTTTACATATAACCCGTTAACTCACCGACAAGTAACCATGCATAAACAAAAGTTAAGGATATAAGACCAGCGTGTTAACTCTCCTTAAGCACTGCTTAATTCTACGGCGTGAACTGACCTGCCACGTACTGACACTCTCTTTCGTGTTGCCCTACTGAACAGGACGCGTAGTCTTGCACTACCACGTGCTCAAGAACCGGTGGGACCTCTGCGGGATGATGCCCGAACCGCGGAGCTACCACGCAGCCGTGCTCATCGGAAAAACGGTCTACATCACAGGTAAGATGTCACCTCCCATGGCAGCTCTTGAAGTGTGGCAGTAATAGTTGTCATTCTATAGGCCAACATAAAAAATTGGTTCTATCTATGCAGTGCATGTAGCAAGAGAAATATTTGGACCATCGGTCATTTTTTCAAACCTATCTGTGTGTCAAAGTACAAGAGCCTTGGTGACTACAAGGACTACGTAGCGAAGCCGAAGCCGCTTCGCCAAAATTCACATAGCCGATGAGCCATGAAGACCCCAAACATATTAGATCTTCATAGTCACCAGTTCCTTGTCATTGGCCGAGAGGTTGAGCAGTGGCACCTCCGGCCCTTACTTGTTCTCCATAAGTGCGAGCGGGCAGCTTTCTTCAAAACCCATACCCGTAATTTGCCAGCAGCGGCGAACATGAAGCAACCTGCTACATAGAAGTTCACATAATGACTCATTTCAACTCTAAAGCATTTTAATTAAGTTTTCTATAGCCCCAGCATGGACGCATTTAAGCCCAGTATGGACGCATTCCGCACTCATAACATGTCCACAAAAGTTGAGTTCTTCGTAACCACAGTGGCATTTATGAGGCTTCAACGGTAGGTTTGACCGATTGGAAGACTCTTGTACGTGTTGTGCCCATTAAGATGTTCGCAGAAGCTGATTGGAAACACGACTAGGTCATCTAGGCAGACAAGGCTGCTTTGCCGTATAATTCGTCTAATACAGTGTCAATCATGCGTTGAAACATATTTGGCGCAAAGGAGAGACCAAGTGGGACCACTAGAAAATGGTAGAGGCCATCTGGCATGACAAATAAACTCCCTACTTCTTAGGGCGCGTTATAGTGCTGTTTTATTATCCTTCTCTCCAAGGCGAGGCTGAAATCCAGGCCTTCGTCCACAAACCTGCAGAAAAATAAAGACATGTGATTATGCTAAAACGTATTAAAGCTCGCGCAGGCTATGTCGTCATAACATTACTAAATATGGATGGCCTAGTGATGTAATTTGCTGTGTCTTCTTCAGGGGTATTAGGTAGGCCTGCTGTGAATTGTTTGAAGATACGCCGAAAGCTTGCACGTATTTTTCTCCAAGGCGGGTTCGATCCAGAGACACGAAAGTGTGGAGAGCTGGTGGCCTGCAAGACCACGTTCGCCTACGACATCGACACCATGGAGTGGAGTCGTAAGGCCGACATGAAAACTGGCCGAGCGGCGCACGGTGCGGCAACATTCAAGGACAAGCTTCTCGTGTTCGGCGGTAGAGGTCGCTTCGGAAGGTCAGTCTTAGGACGTAGGATGGGCTTACAGAGTTTCTCGTTATTAGATATTAGAATACCTCGTCCAGCTTTTCAAATCATATTGAGACCTCAACTATGCAGACTAATAGGGGAACGTCGTCTAGCGTTAGTTTAATCAGGCACTTGAAATAATCAACGCAACTCAGTGAAATTTATCCCCTTCAGTCATTAATTGAATGTGACAATGCTAAAAATGAGTGGACACATTTTTGGTCCAAATGAAGCCCAGTGATGAATGTAAGACAATAAAAAAAATTTACACCGCTATGCCACTGTCTATACAAAAATACAAGATTGTGTTAAGAAGTAAAACACTTGTAGTAATTTCCTTTGAAGAGAATCTCCAATCTTGTTCTCTATGTCTCGAGCATCTAATAATTGTGAAAATAAAAAGAAGCAATCACTTGTTGCAGACAGACAAAGAAACAATTTGCACTTGCGGCATCATATGCGGGCTCTGGACGTGCACCCTTTCGTCTTGCATGCAGCACTATAGAAAACTGTGAGTTGCGTGGGCCGACGAGTGGTTAAGGCTTTCATACCGGATGACATTACGGAGTCGGAGTTCCATATTGTTCACCCTCCTCGGTGGCTCCCTGGTCTCAGTGGCAGATTGATGGCCCCATTTTTCTAATGTAGACTTCTCCGAGAAGACTAGAGAGCTCAATGCTGTTCTGAAAAGTCAGCAGGTTCGTCATGTTTCTACGTAAGAAAAAACAATTGGCTTTTAGATTCTGCACGTACTCTTGCCACCTGCTTATGATGGCAATTGAAAGGATATGCGAAATTACACGTTCAGGCCACTTGTTTGTTCTATGCCTAATTCGATACAAGGACAGCAAAAAGTCCGTTTTGTCGACTCCGCCCTTGGAGGCATTGTATCTTCGAATTAGCTCAGGACACTATATGTCCGCATGTTTTTTTTTTTTTTTGACAACTCACTCAATTGTCTGACGTTCGAAAGCGGCCCCGTTCCCTCAAAAGTTGATGCTGCGCGGACAACACCGTTGTCCTGCCAGCGCACAACTGTGACGTCTCCATCTTCTGGCACTTTTGCATCGAAACTTTCCCGCCCTTCTTGATTTAATTGCTTGTCAGTTTTAAGCATGTAGCCTTTAAGTCTATTTGCCCTAATTATGCATATGGACAAGATTTCATGTGTTTCCAATTCTAGAGTGAGCCCGATTTGAGCGAAGTATTTGCCAAAGTAACATGTAAAATTCATGGACATTGAGAGGTTTTTAATCAACCACATTACAATGGAGACCCTACCCCAAGGTGCTTGTGCTGCAGGGATGTGCCGGTGCCTTTCTCCTGATACAGCTCGAAATCATGAGTGTCACCACGAGAGCTGCATCTTATAAACACCTTGACGCCATCCGGATTTGACTTGTTTTTCACGCACTGCTTTGCAGCAATGGGACCAGTAAAAGGCACAACCTGCTTGTATATGCTGTTCTGGTGGTATGATTTGTCACCTGCGCCTCACAGCATCTAAGACCAGCTGCAGTTTTCAACTGTTTTCTGTGGGCAAAGTTGGTGGAATTGACTCTAAGTAATGCAGACCGCCACTGGAATAAACGGTTGACATGCATCGCTCATTCTGATACACTAGGAATTTTTCTAGTGGGCTGCCAATACATCCTGATTCTTGCGAACTTTAGCATGCTAATTATCATGAACATCCAAAGAATATTTTTACTTTTGCAATTATCCTCCTTATAATTTTCAAAAGGTACGGAAGCTGGCTCAGTCGGCGGAAGGCCATGGCTCAGCATCTTCATAGTCGATTTGAAAAATATGTTTTTTGTGACGTGTAATACTAATTCACAAATGTAAATAATGCAACACGTAAAAACGAGTATTTCTGAAACTCGACTTCCATCTGTCGACGGTGCTCGAGTTCACATAGCCGCTGTGTTTAGAACAAGCGTGCATGGCGTCCGAACAACAACAAAGGGCTAAGTTCCGGAAACGCTGGTTGCCACTCGAATTTCTGCGGCACTGTCCTCGAGCCTTACCCTATTTTGGGGATAATGTTGTATATCTGTAACGCAAAAGTCACAATTTTGGCAGCGAGAAAACACTGAGATACCAAAACAAAGCTTGTTTTGTTATCCGTAGCGGCATTTTGTGCACAATTGTGCACACGTGCACGCGACTTCAATTTTAAGACGCTAAAATGGTACCCTAAATCGCCTAAACTGTTCATGTGGGCTTTCTAGCTAAGCAGCCTCATACCGAATGGTAAAAAATGTTTCACTAAGCCACCTAAACACATTTAAAGCTAGTTAGAAATTGAACGCACTGCCTTCACTACAGAATGTACCAGCGTTCATCTTGAAACTCGCGGTATTGTTACTCTGCTTTTTGCTGCCAATGGTAGATGGCGGTATGGGTCCATACCCGAAGGGCTCACAGTCGAGAGCGTAGCGTTTCAGGCGGGAAAAACGAAAAGTTTGGCGGGAAAAAATTTTGAAATTAGCGTACACAAACGTGAACACGGTGACTTAATAGTCTATAATTAGCTACGCTACAGTCGCCAATCTCTACTGTTTGTTAAAATTAGGGACACACCATGCCGACCAGTATCGAAATGGGTAGCTGTCATAATTGAGCGAATTCTAGAAATCAGTTCTTGATAAGTCACGTCACCAAAGAGTTATCATGTCGTTTCGTCATAATACAGCTAAGTTTGAGCATGAAGGAGATACACCATAGCAAACAGGGATGTGGCAGGTGGTAGAAAGAGCAGAAATCTTCAAACTTGTACTTATTGAGCAACTGTAGGGCACAATACGTGTGTCACTTACGGCACACTTACCCCGCCCTCATGACAAAAAAGCGTCACGTGAGCAAAAACAAATATAGTTCAATGCTAAATAAAATCTTTCAATTTACAAATATAGAGCAGTCGTTTACGGAACACGTGTCGTCTGCCTAAAAAACCAAGTTTTCTTTTCAGATTAAGCTACAGATGGCGTGCTCACGCACACCTTGAAACATTTTTCAATAGTACTGGCTTTCCGCTGTATTAATCCCCATGGCTGGATTGACAGTACTCTGTAAATAAATAAAATATTCTCAAGTGTCAACCAATAACGACTACGACCCAAAATGACAAAACGGTCAGACACTAGTACATCTATAAGTCAAAATTTTGATGGGATAGTAAGACACTTGAAAGACAGAATATGGGAACAGAAAGTGCTCTGATATTTCTATGTAAAGCAAAACGTCAGAGACGCGGTGAAGATATATATTGGATAGCAATGATGGAAGAAAGCATGCAGTGGGAAACCATTCAAAGGGCTAAATAAAGTAAACAAGAGGACACTTTACGATCATTCAAGGGGACGTGCTTTGATGTTTGAAAGGAGATCGGTTTACTTAGTACGCATAGTTATAAAGCAGGATTCAGTGTAATTGAGAAATGTGCATCCACGGGAAAGGTAAGGAAAAGGTGGAGCTTGCATAATTGAATGAAGACTTGTACTTGGCTAAGCTCATTGCCTCACATAGCGAGGGGGCTCCAGCCAACTACTTGAATGTGGACTAGAAAATAGGCGACACACGGCTTGAATAACACTGAACCAGTTGTTAGTCAAGAGATGTGTCCTATGTTTTTTTTTTCTTTTTTCATCCAATAGTTGCCTGAAGCCCCCTCGGTATGAATGAAGACACCACCCGATTAGTGTTAGGGCATCGCCTACTTGAACCATTCGTGTTTAGGGAAAACATTGGAGATGTGAGCGGGTTGGCGCTCGAGATGAACTATGAGTGAGAATTGGCTGCGGCAAACGCGGAAGATGAGCAAACAACGCAGGTGAACTAACTTTATTCTTTGTTAGGACTCAGGGAAGTTGACTAGTGAATATATAGGACGAGATCCTTCATTCCCATTGAATGCCTGGGCCGTCACATAATATTATTATTATTATTATTATTATTATTAATATTAATATTATTATTATTATTATTATTATTATTATTATTATTATTATTATTATTATATTATTATTATTATTATTATTAATATTATTATTGTTATTATTATTATTATTATTATTATTATTATTATTATTATTATTATTATTATTATATTATTATTATTATTATTATTATTATTATTATTATTATTATTATTATTATTATTATTATTATTATTATTATTATTATTATTATTATTATTATTATTAGAGCGTTGCAGAGTGTAGGTCACCGCTCCATCATAAAGGGGATGCTCTTTTGTTCACCCAACCATGGTAATCGAAAACTCGCATAGTCTCTTGCGCACTGAACTAGGGTTACTCGAAGGCGCAAATCACATTTTTTTCCCTTGGCTGTCGAGTGCATTATTCACCCAGCCATCGAAAATGTTTTGCGTCTACCCGTTTTTTGGCACAAGTGAATTAAAGCAGTTCCGGGTGTTAAAACAGTTTTTTTGGTGTATTTAAAGATGTCACCCCCGGTGATGTTGCGTCAGTGGTAGACTGGTTTCGCTGATCGATGACGACTAAATGTGAAAATATCCCTACGTCCGATAAGGAAATGCTATTACCACCACATTACCACACGCTGTCCCTAAATTCCGCAAATACCATGCGAGTGGGCTGATTGTAATACGTCGTTTCTTTACGTTGAAACAATACTCGCACGCAATCACTGACGCACTTATCGAGCTAACCTATTTATACGAGTGCAAGATTATTCATACCTTGAGCTTCTGGTCAGCGTTCATTCGTTTTGTTCGTTCATTCATTCATTCGTGAGCAATGCAGTTTACAGAAATTTTGTCTGGAATGGGGCACGAGCATCAGTAAATGGATACTTAGCCACACCTCTCGTCCATTTCATCTTGATGAAATTTAGGTCGCGCAATTCATAACTTCACTTTGACAGACTCATTCATTCATTCATTCAATCATTCATTCATTCATTCATTCATTCATTCATTCATTCATTCATTCATTGCATTCGCGTTCCGCGGGAGGGCTGGTCATCGTCACCATCTTTTACCTGCGTTCCTTTGACGAGGTGCTGTCCCTACTCGCATGCCTTCAGCTTCTCGTCAACATAGAATTTAGGTTAGGTTAGATTAGGATGTTGTAGGCGGCCGGAGGATCTAGCCATGCATAATTTGTAGGCAATTGCCCCAACCGGTTTCCTTTTCGCTAATTGTATCTAATGTCCTTTGTTTTTTAACTATGCACGAGCAGGCTCTCACAAGAAAACCGCGAAAAGCGCGATCTAAGCCTGCATAATCCGGTGGCCTCTGTTATATTCCACATGCAGCATTGTGCCGGTACTCGTTGCATCTTACCCCAAACATAATTGTCGCTTACATCGGTCACATGCGAGGTCTGTAGCGTTCAAAAATTTCAAAAGAAGTCACGACACTTGTTTTCTAAAGATCGAGTGACCACGCGGAAACACAATATCAGTCACGCTGTCCCATGGTGAGCTTAAGAGTTGCAGTTCTTATAGTGTTTTATATCACCATTTTTCTTGCACTTCGGGCACAATGACGTCGCGGAGAGTCTGATCTTGTGGAGCCATGCTTATGTACGCGCTGATCCCGTTCGGATGCGATGAAGCAAGCAGGCCTCTTTTCTTGATAGCCCTTTTGTCACACATGGCTGATGAGGTGTGCCATAACAAGTGAAAATGCTTATTGGCAGCTTCTCGTAAAATACGCAGACTGTCTTTAGGAGCCTTACGTTGGTGTAAGCTTCGGAGCACTCCGGGGAAGTCTGTCAGCCAGCTCAATACCCACTATACGCACCTGTGATACAATCCATTGAAACTTAGTGTTCATACCAATGCCATGCAGGTCTTTAAGGATTCGCAGTGATCTTTTGAGTGCATCGATCCAAAACCGATTCATGTTTTAGCCGCTGCAAAGCGGGCTTACTGTCCGAAAGCAGCACAACTTGCTTCTGCCTACAAAACTTCAGTTTCTTTAGGGCTGCCTGAATTGCCACGCTTTCACACGCTGTAGATGAAACACCGCACTCGAGTCGTGCTGCCCAGGACGCCTTTAGAGACAGGATCACACACGCTGCAGCGCTTGCTCCACGCCGATCCATCAGCGAAAACTTTCAAATGATTGGCGTACCTTTCTTCAATGTATTCAAGTTTCAAGTCCCAAAGAACGCACATCTGTTGTGGGTGTGAAACGCTTGCTGTGCATCCATGAAATCGTCACCTGACCGTCGACATACTCATGTGACCAAGGTGGGTCGTCTCCAAGTTCTCTGAGCTTGGGGAAATCAATGCGAAGGTGATGAAGGGTGTTGAGGGCCACGAAAGCTCGCGATTCCAATGCGTCGCCGAAGGCGGCTGAGTGTAGTGCTCGTGCTGGGCTCGATTCGCCAAGTCCGCGAAGCTGTGTCAGCAGTCGTTGAGAGGCGAGAAGACGTAACGGCGGAAGACGAGCTTCATGAAGCACCTATATGCTCGCTGTAAGTTTGGCACTCCCAAAGTTACTCTGAGGCCTTAACAATTAAGTGTTTTCAGCCGTTCGTACTGTGACTGACTTGTAGAGATCAGAGGCAATTGGGAAAGCACACGATTGACAATTACTGCCGCGTGTAACTTTATCATTGATGTTGGGTGGCTCCCCCAGCTTGTTCCTGTCATCCTTCGAAGAATGCTTACACGGGTTGAAAGCGTTGACATCGTGATCTCTACTGCACGTCGAAAATTCATCCTGGTGTCTAGTGTGACTCCAAGGAATCTCAAGTACTTAACTTGCCTCATTGATACACCAGGAAGTAATGATTTCATCCTCGTTTTTCGTATTCACATACCTGGGAATGACATTCATCGAGACTTTTCAGCTGATATTGTTAGTCTAATAGATACACGATAGGTTTGTGCTTAGGGTATATCCATTTGCCCAATCATTTCCAATCGCTTATGCTGTATACAGACATCCAGATGCATATGTCGTTGGCATAGAATTTCAGTACTATTAGAGCACGTACATCTATGTTCACTGTAGCGCGTGCTGAATGAACATCCCTATTATCCCGTAGAGCCGTGGCATCGACGGAAGAGTACGACCCGTCATCTGACACATGGCGAGAGTGCACGCCTCTAGACGTGCCTCGAATGGCTGTCGGCTGCGCCACGGTCGCTGATGTCATCTACGTGGTTGGCGGCATGGTACCCGAGGAGGACGATCTGTACCGTGCCGTGGACAGGGTCGACATTTATGACCCGAAGACACACACGTGAGTTCACACCGTAGTTAGTCAGAATTGATGAAGCGATTTTTTTGGGGGCCAAACACGACACACTATATAAGTAGTACTGAACGCCAAGTTTGGTTCTGGAGGCGTGGTGTGGTTAATCTCATCGAACAGTTTAGCTCACTTATTTTTTCACCGGTCATCAGTACCTCGTTACACGTGGGCACCAAAGTACCGACTGTTTTGAACTTGCATCATATTCCTATGATACTATCTATTCTAGCATTATTGAATTGTAATCAAATAAGCTGCAGAAAATGCTGTTTAATCCTCGGCGGTGTACAAGGGAAGTATAAATCAATTTGCTTGTGATAGTGAATAGTAATGGTTCAATAGGGTGTTATTGAGCTCGAGTGAGTAGTGTCATACATGATTTTGAGCGTTTTTCAAACATCACAACATTTTGACGATGAAAATAGAGAACAGCGCTCTTACAAAAAGGGTGAAAGAACTACTAGAAGGCTCAGCGCCACATGTGACCATTCTTTCGTTCTTCATCCGCGTAAAAGCGCCGTTGTATTTTTCATAGTGGAACTTTACTAACTCGCCCGATTTCCCTGTCTTCTGCAGTTACGAGAGTATTTTCACGATAATAAAGAAAACAATTATAGAGTAACTATAAACGAAAATTTTCACAACACTTCATATATCGAACACTGAGCCGCGTTTAACATCCCACGAAATTGGCCTTCCCTCAAAAGAGAATAAGCACTTTTTCCTGAAGGGGCTTCTCGCGTATGCACTTTAGAGCACGCAGCTGTAGTAGTAGAGCACTGCGCTGAGGGGCTAGAAACTTGTGCTTCTCGCGAAATTGTCCCATGGTTGCTTGTTTGTTACTGCGGCCGTTTGCCTATTTCGAGCGCCTGCCATGACTGAGTGAGTGAAACAACTTTATTGACGATCCGGCATAAAGTGGGAAGGGGTAGGGGGATTAAAGCGAGACACTAGCGTGCTCGGACGTCCCGGAGCAGCAACCTACTCGCGTCAAACCCGTGGGGGCGCCGCTTTCGGCCGCTGGCGTTCCAGGATGCTAAGCACGTGCTGGACCACATCTCTTTCATTGCCTGGCTCTCGGCTGACGATTTTGGTGCTTATGGCAGTTGGCATTACTTCTTGGTTACCCGGCGGTGGTGCACAGTCCCAAAGGAGGTGTCTCTGGGTGGCTCGCGCCTTCTTGCAGTGTTGGCATACATCAGTGGTGTATTGCTTGTACTTGCAGCTGCCGTAGTGTGGCTGCTTCTCTGCGTTGTAGGTCTCGGTGAGGCGGTGGGTAGAGGCGTCTGCTCGTTCTGTACCACTGCAGAACGTCGGCGTAGGTTGTGATAAAATACTCTCCGTCTTCGGCATCGGGTCGTTGCGGCTCCGAGGAATGCGTTGACAGAGACCCGCGGCTAGTTAGCGCGTGTGCCTCCGTATCTGCCTCCTCGTACTACGTGGACTACGTGGACTGCGCGCACTACGTGGACGTGGCGAAGTATCCCCCCGGCCAAACACGTACGCAGCAGCAGTCATCGCAGCAGACACTGGAGCACTCACAACGTAGGGAAGCATACGGTGCAAGTCGCCCACGCAAGCCGAGGAGTTTGCAATCGCACTGGCACTAGCGATCCCGGATTTCCGCACGGTTCTCAGCGACTCGAAGACGGCAATAGCCTACTTTGCTACAAACAACGTCCATAGAACCACTGCAAGAGTATGTTCAACTATAGCAAGACCGAAACCAACATTACCGTCAAGTGGTTCCCTGCGCACGCCGGGGAGCTGGACGTGGGCCCGAAGCGCCTGCCATCCAAATCTCCACAAAAGTCTTGTGAAAGGGAAGATCCTGTGTTTAACCAGCAAGTGTAAGACAGTCAGCACAGCTGAACGTGGATAAAAAATGCCGCATCGCTGCTGTCATGATAGTGCATACCAACAAATTATATATGTTTCGTCATTGAGACGTCACACGAAAGTTTCATCACCAGACATCATTCCTTGGTCAAAAGGGGGCTGATCGCGAAGGAAGTGCAAAATCATCTGAGGCGCCGAAAGTTTCCATTGTCTTCGATTCCCGAGAAAGTAAGTAAGCTATACCTTGGGTGAAAGAATTGATTGAAGGGGCGCTGCGTATGTTCAATACTTCAATTACTGGAAAGAAGCAGAGAAAACGGCTTTCGCTTTTCATTTCAGGGGTATGCATAACGGACCCTCCGAGGTTCTTTCCAGTCCAAATGTATTGGCGTGTGACGCTATGATGAATGGGAGACGTGGCCTGGCTCATACGCCATGTTTATTCCATTCTCATTTCTCCCTTCTCGGCTTCTACTTCTAACTCATAACCATATCTACCTTCTTACGCTACAGGATTCCCCCTCCCCTCGAAAGAATGCGTGTGTTGTATAATACAATGCATAATGAATGGGCAGTACTAGAACGCAAAAAAAACAACATTGAAATGGACCGTATTTGCACATTACATTGATGTTCCCTAAGATCGCACATATTCTTCACAAGAGGGCAGCAATCCGGGGTTATGAAGTACAGCTCCGGTGGACGAGGCTGGCTGTTATGCTCTGGACAACATAAACATGCTTTGAGCGTGGAAACAGATGAAAATACAGCCGGTATTCTTGCAAAGAACGAACGAGGCTGGAACGCTTTGCAAGATTGAATGTTTTGTAGGCGTCCCATTTTGTCGTGGGTCATACAAACGCCGTGCATGCAATTTGCGCGCCCGTTGATCGTGGCTCATTAGGCGCTGCCTGTGTTCCTGCAGAGCACAAGCGGTTATTTTGTGGCTTTTGGGGATTTTCTATGGTGATGATGCAGATGTTCTGACCGAAGGCGCAGTCTTGAACGCTGTTACGGAAAAGTTTCTTAGCTTTTCTTTCTGCGAAGATAGCTCAGATGCGGAATCAGTCTTTGTTTAGTGTATATTGATCACGACACTCTTCAGGCCGCAAGTATCCTTGCGATGTAGTTTTAGTTGCTCGTTGCCGACGTTGGTGGGGCGTTTTAGCTGTTGGAGTTCTTGTTGCTTTTGTTGGCATTGCTGATGTTGCACTGTCTGACGAGGTGGACTTCCTTTGGAACCATGAGCTCGCTTTCTTTGTAGGTTGACATGACCAGCAAAGAGTTTATACTTGTTAAGGTGTCGCGATTTGTGTCAGGCAATGAAGATAGTGCGCCCGAATTGGCAGCAAAATCTGCTGAGGTTCTTGCAACGCCATTCTTGGTGGATGTTTCTGGTACAGGGCAGTGCCTGAGAGTTTATCCTTCCGAGCCTCCTGCGTGGGTTGGGCTCTCAGGGGGCTGGGAGTTCGACGGCGACACTGCGAAAGGATCGGTTTGGTCATATTTTAATTGGGAATGACTGCCTTTCTGTGGAACGAACGATGCGAGTTCTTCTGGCGCATGAAACTGAACTGGAGGTGACGCGCTTGACTGAGTATGCTCGGAGCTTCTCCGCTCTATTCCGACCATAGTGAACGCGTGAGACGCGAGGTGGGCACTGTGAGCGACCGAATATCCACGCGACGGAAAAGCAGAAGGTTGGTCAATGCGTGAAGACTCCTTTCAACTGTGATGACCGAGTGCGGTTGTCTGTGGATGGTGGGTTACAAGAAAGTCTTCGTCACAGTCGTCATAGTATTCTTTAAACCAAACGATGACCTCTTGTTTTATCTGTTCCCATGACTCGTCGTTTTGAAATATATGGGTGAGGTAGAATTTGGAGGCCTCACCGGAGATGTAGTCGGTAAATTTGGTGACCATCTCCCGTTCGGACCATGATGCAGCGGTTGCGTGGAGCTTGAAACAGGTCGAACCAGTCCTGTACAGGTCCATCGTCCGCTGCTCCGGTGTACTTGGGTATGGGAAGGTTGGTCGATGATTCTGTCATGGTGCTGGTCGCTGTGCGCGGCCAGAGATCATTCCGTAGTCGTTGTATGGTCAGGGCGTCTTGTGGAGAACTGCATCGATGATGAGACACTGATGAAGTGGCTGGGAGGTCTTCATCCTGTCCACTCGTGTGACGCTATGATGAATGGGAGACGTGGCCTGGCTCATACGCCTTGTTTATTCCATTCTCACTTCTTCCTTCTCAGCTTCTACTTCTAACTCCTAACCATCGCTACCTTCTTACGTTACACACACACACATATATATATATATATATATATATATAGTCCAGTAGATCCTCCGTGAGCGGTCACAACGTGGTTTAATTCGATGTTTCGGCCTAGAGTCTGGCCTTCATCAGGATTAAAGGCGCTCAGCTTTATACAATCTCAAATCAGAGGGAAAGGAAAAAGGAAAAAGACAGAAAAAAGAAAAAAGAAAAAAAGATATAAGGTGGACTATCCTCGGGCGCCCCCCTTCCACTCTTCCTTCCACCTCCCCCTTCATCTCTCTCCTCTTTCTCCCCAGTGCCTCCTGGCACTGGCGGTTCATGTAGGGTAAAAAAGAGCTTTTTTATGAAGTTCTAAGCATTTAACTACTCGGCGCCCTGTCAACATTTCGTCGTAGAAAGAGGGGTGCCGCGTAGTGTGGCAGAGGCTGGTAAGCGGGCGCAATGCGAATTCCTTGCCCGCTTCTGGATTACGCGTGCAGTGGGGCCTCCCGACTGTGCACAGCGTTGCTGTTGGGCATGTCATGCATGCACATTGATAGGGTAGTAAAATAAAACAGAAAACAGACGACAGCTGCACTTAGGAAAAGTAGTTACACTTGGAATTGTTTGAGTTGTCCAGTGCCCTTCGCAGCTGCAGTGCCGTGAACTCAGTTACTATTTTTATTATGCCGCTATTGTTTTCTAATGCTTTAATTGCTGCAAGTGTACCAGGATTCTCATTTATTCCTCTAACGAGGGTGTTAAATCAGTGGATAAGGTATGACTCTCGTTGTTCACGTTCTCGATTTGATTTAAATCCCGTCTCTAAGAGCGTTACTGTAGTTTTTCGAATGCATGGTCGGGAAGAATGAGATGTTTTGATAGAGGT